TGACTACGTATAACACAACCATCAACGGCCTCCGAACAGGTCCGCCTACTCAGTTTCACGCACAAGGCTTGGGTCAACCCATGCTATGGTTTTCAGGCACTTTTCCTTTCAAGGCCGCGCTTTCCGACCATGGGGTCCGACTTCGAATCTCATCACGGACTATTTATCTCGAATGTGACTTATTGATATTATCAGTCTGGCGAGGGCAGACATTTAGAAAATGTCTGAAAACCATAACGTTGATTTCTGAAGACCACTATTATCGCTCTTTTCCATATTGAGGAGGTTTCCTTAACATTTGTTCGAAGTTGTGTGGAACGTCAATATCCTGATTATTTTATCATTTTCTCTTCGAATTACATGTGATATTTATTTCAGTTATTGCTATATACATACACACACACACACACACACACACACAAATATATATATATATATATATATATATATATATATTATAAATTAATTGATTTAAAATACGTTTTTTTTTCGCTACACAGTTCTAACCATGTTTAAAAAATGGAAGCTAAAAGCCCCGAATTTAATTTTGTAATTAAATTAAAGACATTAGTTCCATTTCATGATGATGTTGAATGTAGAATAAACGGTTTATTCGACATTCAACACCACTTTATAAGACACCAGAGGTGTTGAAACAAAATGGCTATTTTTTTAGTGATTTTATAACATTTATGTTATAATTTTCAAATAAATAATTATATTTGCTCTACTCTGTATTGAGCACACTTTTAAGAATAGTATTTTTTGGTTATTGGAATTTATTCCGTATACACAATCCTATACTTTGGTTATATATATATATATATATATATATATATATATATATATATATATATATATATATATATATATAGTTTTTTTATAAGTGGGCTAAAAGTAGACCAAGTAATGTTATTTGTTAAGAAATTTTTATTAATATTTTCCTATATTTCGGATCATTTCCCTGGTTTCCGGTAATATTTAAACTAAACAATTTCCGAGTACATTCGACTTTCGTAAGCCATTATCAAGGATTTTTTATTATTTGTGCTATGTCGGTTTCATCATTTTGTAACATCGCGTTTTCACGGCTCGTGTCGGTTTCAACATTTTGAAATGTCGCATCTTCGCACGTCATGTCAGTCTCATCATTTTGAAATATCGCGTCTTCACGTGACATTTCTTGTTATCGTGGCATTCTTTACTTTTCCTTTTTTTAAAAATCTTTTTTTGATGTTCATTTTCGTGTGTGTATGAATTCTTGCTTTTTTTTTTATATGATTCCCTTCGAAAATTCATCTCTCAAAAGCCCCTTCTAAACTCAGTAGATTTCGACGCAGCAAGGTCAAGGTAAACTTCGTTGCTTCTATTGTTGGTTCTGCTTGTATCTGCCTTACGGGAAACAATCATAAGTTTACAATGAAGGAGAGTAATGTGGTTAAAGTAAATAGACTGACAGGGTTAGGCGTTGGGGTTTAGAGAGAGAGAGAGAGAGAGGGAGAGAGAGAGAGAGGGAGAGAGAGAGAGAGAGCTCATATCACATAGAATGCCTAAAACAAATAATAATAATAATAATAATAATAAGAAGAAGAAGAAGAAGAAGAAGAAGAAAAGATGTAGTGGCCTTCGTTTTGCCTTTCATTTGTGGACTCTCCTTGTTGTCACTGGGTCAGAAGAGAAGGGACAAAGGTCAGAACAATGGTTGGACTGTCCATCGGCATTAGTGTGTCCGCGACTAATAATGGCAAGGACAAAGAAAAGTTGACCAAGTCGATTACATTAGAGAAATAAGGAAATTCGTTTTTACATGGAGACGGGGTCTCCACTTGACGTACAGAGGCAAAATAGTTACTAAACAGAATAGTCGAAATCAGGGCAAAATCTGTAAGACATTGAGAAAGGGGAGGGAGGGAAGAAAAAAAAAGAGATACTGTAAAGAAAAGAGATAGAGAGAGGGAGATGGGGGAAAGATAGGATAATGAGGCAGAGAGAGAGAGAGAGAGAGAGAAACGAAAGAGAAGAAAGAGAAGGGAGAGAAGAAAGGGAGAGAGAGGGAACATATATGATAAATTGAAAGTGTAAAGAGGGAGGGAGAGGAAAGACAGGGCAATGAAGCAGAAGAAAAGAGAAAGATTGAAATAGAAGAAAGAGGAGAGGGAGGGAGGGAAGAAAGAAAGAAAGAAAGAAAGAAAGAAAGAAAGAAAGAAAGAAAGAGAGAGAATATATATGGTAAAGAGAAAGAGTAAAGAGAGAAAGAGAAAGGAAAGATAAGGTAATGAAGCAGAGGAGACAGAGAGAGAGAGAGAGAGAGATTGAAAGAGGAGAAAGAAAGAAAGAAAGAAAGGAAAGAAAAGAAAGAAAGATAGTATATATGGTAATGGGAAAGATTACAGAGACAGAGAGAAGAAAGATAGGGCAATGATGAAGAAGAAAGAAAGAGAGATTGAGAGAGAAGAGAGAAGACAAGAGAAACAGGAGAGAGAGAGAGAAAGAGAGAGAA